ATTACTACTTGGCGGCTGAAATAGGTAAGATGGCAGTAGGTACTTCTCTGGACAAGCTCCTTCACAATGAGCTATTCTGCTACTCCACTGGTTTGTTGTTATTATTGAACAAACTTACAAAGATTTTAGAAGAAAATTACAAAAATCGAACAATGCAAGGAAAATTCCAGCAATCTGACTGGAGTCGAATCAGCTTCTCTTGCCACAGCAAGGCCACCGCTCTTACCATCTGAGCTACAGATCTTAGGTACATGTTTGTCTATATGCTTATTACAGGTCTTTCTTTGTATTGGTTTTAAACGATTTTTTTCCATCAGCGCCACATGCCACTCACTTCACTCGGCAGGTACCTTTACAGCAGTGTAATATTTATTTGTTGAATAATAATAATATAAAAATCGTATAAACCCAATGCGAAGATCTTTAAGAAGCACAGCGAAATTCATAAGATTTGTTTACTCGGTCTATGGCTCAGTTGATAAGAGTGGTGGCTCCGGCATGGCAACAGCCGCTGGCTCGAAGGAACCTTTATTTGTGTTGTTCGATCTTTCTAATTAATGTTGGCACTCATCTGAACTCCTGTAGATTACGGCTTGTACGAAGTTCAAGTAATCACACTCAGGCATTACTTATTAGTTGTTAGGAGCGTAATTTTCAAAATTCTATAAAAGTCTTATAACGTCGCGCATTTTTTTTGTATGTATATTACGCGATAACTTTTTTTGTAAACCGATTTTGAAAATTCTTTTTTTTTTTTTAAAGAGTGGCAATCTATAGTACATTTTTTGTTTGTTTACTTAAGTAAATATAAAGTCTTGATACCTACATCTTTTTATTGAAACATATACTTTACAAATCAATAGGTATAAAAATTAAGGCATGCATATAGTATGTGTATTTTGTATTTGAGTGTAAGTAAAAATCATTTTATAAATGTGTATTTCATTAAATAGACATATTATGATTGTTTACATTTAGTTCAGTATGTATCTAAACCATAAACAAATGGACTTTAGGGGATGAATGACTTTTGAGGTCAGTTTTTTTAGTACTCTGTACTAATTAACATCTATACTAATATTTTTGGGCATAGTGCGTGTGCAATGCACAAAGAGGTTGGAGAATGTTCCCCAATATTTTCCCAAAATACTAGGGGCAATCACACACAAAGCAAATTGATATTTTCTTTTTTCAGGGCAGTGAAGAAGAGAAACCATCATAACTTCTTTAGATGTGGGTTCATTGGAGACCAAGAAGTAGTTTGCTGCCCACAAAGTAATAACAGATTTGATCTCACATTTATACCATAAAAATGTTCCGTCTATATAATTCTCCATTGGAAATGCCTCCAATTGAAGGCTGCTGGGATGACAAAACTAAAAAAATTACATATAAATATATATATACATGGTGATTTCTAAAATACATTATAAACTGAGTACTAAAATATTACTAACATTTATAAACAACAACTTTTGTTCCATGACTTTTTACGGAACGTAACATAACCAAATTATGTAAGTTTTTGTTGTACTATCTGACACTTTTTAGATCTGTATTTCGTTCTACTTTGTATAGCAACTCCTCCCGCGTGCTTTCGTTTGCACAGAGTCATCACCGCTAAGAAAGATCTTATATAGTACATTATTGCAGAGGCCGGGAAGTAAGGGATTGCTGGACGAGTATGAGTTACAAGGACGAGCGCGAGAGAGGCCTTCTATAATACGAGTCCCACCGAGACACGTATACATTTTTTCTCAAACAATGTGAGGAAATAATAAAAGACTAAAGAGATGAAGATGCATAATAGAAAAAGTAAAAAATATTAATTAGTATTAAAAGTAATACTAGACATGTTAGGACTAAAAGAAAATGTTATTGTTTACCCAGACACATTAATAGTAGTCTGCTGAACTTCTGATGATGTGTTTAAAATGCGTATCTATTATTGTATTTTCGTTATCACTCTACTCACTAGCACTCATTTTCGCGACCAAAATACAAAAAAGACGAAAAAGCAAAAGAATGCCATAACATTTTAATTTAAGTGTTGCCGCTTTTTCTTTTTTTAAGTAAGCGGTACAGGTAGGTATTTTTAATTCTCGCAATTATGAACACAGGTTAATTGGCTGTATAAGTTTTTCTTTTGTCCGTTTACATAGTTCGTTGTGTTATAGGTAGATTTAAAAGTTTAGAGAAGAGGACAGTAATGGATTTTCATACTTACTTTGCATGCCTTGGCCGGGAAGAAGTGGCATGGTCACTATATGACAAACTTTCCGTGTTCCTTTTTTGAAAGTAATGCAACCATTTCCGAGTATGTTTGAGAAAAAATATGTTTTGACACCACCGACAACACGAAATATTTGTCATTTATGGACAATGCAACTTCTTCCCGGCCAAGGTCGGCAAAGTATGAAAATCAATTACTGTCCACTTCTCTAAACTTTTAAATCTACTTATTAATAATGAAATAACTAAACAGGCAAAAGAAAAACTCATGCAGTCAACTGCCAAATGTTCGTAATTGCATCGTAATATTCGCAGAATTAAAGAGGATGTGGGTCATATTTTTCTGTATCTAAGTGAGCAATAAGCATTCTTGACGTAATTTTTTTTATGCCATTCTTCCATGAGGGGTGCGATAATCGTATTTATTTTTAAATGGCCGAAAAATAAACTAAAGTGTTATGTTTGATATTCTTTTCAGATTTTTTTGGCCTTTTTTATGTTCGTCGCGAAAGTAAGTTCTAGTGAGAAGAGCGATAACGAAAATGCATGCAAATACTATATCGAATATATATAATAACATATCGAATATTACTTTTAATTTAAATGAATTTTTTACTTTATCTGTTATACATCTTCTTTTAGTCGTCTATTATTTCCTCACATTGTTTGAGAACATCACTATACATATAAGCCTTGGCACGAACAGGGCTTGCTTGACTCTTATTAATACAAGGCTTCGCTGGCGCTCGTCCTTGTGACTTATACTCGTTCAGCAATCCCTTATTTCGCGGCCTCTGCAATAATGTACTATTCTTTTTGTACGAAAGTAAAATCCGACGAATTATTAAAAGTCATGGAACAAAAGTTGTTGTTTATTATGTTGTTAATACAGTTCTGCAAGGTTGTTAGTATTTTTCAAATAACCCCATATAAATGTGATAATTCAAAGACCCGTCTTACAAAATTCCAATGTACTTTCAGGTACTCGAACCAAAGAAAGAAAAGCTGACAGAGGTACATAAATAATCATTTATTCATTCAAAAACTAAATAAAATTAAATTCATTTAAAAACTAAATTAAGTGCATAATTATGTCAATACGCAACGTGGGCTTCGTCATATAAAAATTAATAATGCAATTCACCAGACTTAGCCATTTCTATCCAACTAGTGCAATGAAAAAGGACCGGTCTGAATCTTAGCTGGTTCAAACGTCCCCATAACACTGGCAGTATTACTGCGCTGAATGTCCAACGAAATTTGTTGCACCAAGCAAGATCCAGAGCGTGGATCATAGCCTCTATCACTAAGCCGACGACCCAACTCCCTGATGAATTATTTGGCCTCTGCACCCCAGTCCCCGCAGTCTCTACTGCAATTGGCACAAAATCGTATATCGGTTCCAAGGCACTGGACTTGGCATGTTTCAATTTTGCCGCATAGTCTGCAGCTGACCCTGCAGATCTGGTGGTGTTACTCAGATGGGACGGTGCAAACGTACTGACACATGTAGCGTCCCAATAAAGGCACCGGGCCTTCTGCCATGGAACCAATATAAGGCCGTCAGCGCCTTAATTTTAATTCAAATCAGAGTCGATCCGATCCGGTAGCTCATCTGAGTCTCGAAATCAGATGGGTTTTCGAGCGAGAAGATGAACCTCATTCCTACTATATCTTTCTAATTTGTGAGTTAGATCAACTATTCTTCCGATTAGAAATGTCAAAGTTTCCTATCGGCCAGTTGTGAATCGCAATTATGCACCTCGACTCGGAAAAGACGCAGTTTTGGATCGGGAGAGGCAATCAAAATCAAGCTGCTGGTCTCTTGCCATCTGTACAGCACAGCCCCGGAGGCGTATATGGCTTTCCGTATACAGTACATCCCCCAAAGGGAGACGAGGTAGGTAGTTTTTCTAAGGGGCTAAACAAATGAAATGCCGTACCCAGTATGTCCCCTCAAAGCGACGAAATTTTTTTATTTTTTATTTTTTTATTTATTTATTAAGTACTACCACATCATATATATTAGAACATTTCAACATTCAGAATTAGATACAACATTCAGAATATAGAAAAGAATTAGATACGCCTTTCCATCTACCGTATAAGTTTAAGCCATTGAAAACCCATACTTAGTACGTCCACTAGTATAGTTAACGGCTTTTCGTAAGAAACGCTCGTAAGAAAGAGTCTCTGATTCGTCACGTCTCGAGTAATTACTCAAACAAAATATCTGCAATAGTATAGAATTTATGTATTTATTAAAGTTAAAAGGAATACAATTACAAAATTAATCATTATCAATATTTATATATTTAAACAGTTTTTATCAAATACGAGATAAATTTATTAGCAAATTTATTAGGAAACAAACAAGTGCTCTTACAATTTTGCTCTGAAACAATTTTTCGAAGACAATAATTAAATGTTATCTATTAAATCTATTACAAAGTATACTATAGAAATTAAGTAAGTGATGGTAAGTGTATAGTAGACACTTTGGAATTCTCATCATTCGTTCCTTCATACTTCAATAGTTTGATCAGTCACAAGTTTACTAACTAGACCTGTAAATCGTTCTTCATCGATTTTAAATAATCTTAACTCAAGCACAAACGATATTAATTACAAGTTATGCCGCGAATTACGTAAAAATACATGCAAGATCGAAATTAACTGTGACACTGCATTCGCGCGAAATAATAATATCAGTTGTTATTGATATTATTATTTCTGGCCTATTTTGAAACATGCCAATATCACCAAACATGCAACTAATTAGAGCTTAGAGTTGTCTATTTTGTACGTGTTTATTGGTAGTGTAAGTGAGACGGAGAGAGATAGCTCCGTGTTTATTATTTGCGTTTTGCACTGTTTACTTAAAACAATAAGAGACAATCTCGTTTGAACTATGTATGACCCTTGAGTTTTTGATTCTATAATTATTCGACGTGACGAATCAGAGACGCTTTTTTACGAGTGTTTCTTACGAAAACCCGTATCTAATTCGTCCCATAATGGACTTAACCAAATACGGTTTTTTAATCGCTTAAACTTATGTGGTAGCTGGCGTATCTAATTCGTTACTTCGAGGGGACATATTGTGTACGGTATTTCAGTTGTTTAGCCCCTTAGAAAAGCGTACCGAACTCGTCTCTCCCTGGAGGACGTACTGTATACGAGAAGCCATTTAAGCCGATCACAAGCCCGGCCAACTAAATCATTTATTGCATGATGAAAACGACTCGCGCACCTTTGACAATTAAGGCCGTGGTGGCTGTTTTCCTCAACCATTACCCCACAAATCCCAACCGTAAAGCAACCGCAATTCTCAACGACGACATCATCTAGCAGAGTGCCTAAATGGGGATAAGGCAATGTCTACAACCACGCTCCTGCTTCAGGCTTAGTTAAACGCGCCACGTTACATCTAAAATTGCATAAGCGTAACAAAAAAATCAAATTGTAGGTATTTCAGCTGGTGATAAAGTCGGAAAATATTATACTGTACATTATTGCATAAGTACCTTTGCACAAGTATCGTTTTTTAAAATACTTATCGCACATGAATACAAATATGTTCGGAAGTAGAAATTGTGGAATTGAAAAATATGTTCGGAAGTAGAAATTGTGGAATTGAAAAAACACGTCGTGAAATTTCAAAAAATTACAGGATGAAACCAATAAAGTTATCTTCTCGTTTATAAATGGATGACTAAATAATATAAATAATCACATTATTCGCATTAAGATCTATTCAGTATTTTTTGAGTTTTCTAATCGTGTTTTGTCCATTCCACTAATTTATTTGGCTTCAAGTGCGTTATGTGTTCTATAATAATATAGCAATGAAACATTACCCACATGGTATGAATCAAATAATTTTGGTGAAATTACTGCCCTTTTTACAATGTAGTAGTTTTATTTAATTTTATTCTCAAATTACGGATAAGCTGGTCGATGTAGTTCATAACAAACTTTTTGCAGAATGTCAAAAAATAATATCCAACAAAATAGAGCCAATTGGCTTATACATAATCGGTGGAGAACTGGCGTCACTCGGGGAATTTCCTCATATGGTAAGTGTTTTCCTGCACCTATAATTCCCATGAATCAGTACAGTAATAAGGAAAATATTCAACTTCATGCACCGTAAATATTTGGTAATTGATGCCAAATGGAAAATTTCTATTAATTATACTTTCATTATTAATAATAACATTTATGAAACGACTTCAAAAAAGGAGAAGTTCTCAATTCGTCCGTTTTTTGTATGTATATTACACGGTAACGAGCCAAAATGACTCGAGTTTGACTTTGACAGTTTGACTTAGAGTTACCATAAGAAGAAAACAATACTTGCCATTGTCGTTTCTTTTTACCGACTAAAACTCGGCAAACATAGATGTGGAATTACATCGAACGATTCGGTTTTCTTTAAATAAAAAAGTTACAGTTATTATGAAACCAAGTGAAGGGACGAACAAGTAGTGCGCCTAGTGGTAAGCGACACGCCTGTCCATAATTGTTACAATGCCACTCAGAGCTTTAAATCACAAAGATCTGAGAGGCACTGCCACTGCATTCGTCACCCTGAGACATAAGTTGACAAGTCTCATGTGCTTGCAATTTCACCAGCAACCCCTACAAACTGGAACGCAGTAATGCTCACATCACAGCTTGGCGGCAGAAATAGGTAAGGTGGCAGTACTTCCCTAGACGAACTCTTTCACAAGGAGCTCTACTGCTTCTAACTCATCCGACATATGCTCATTTCTTTGTAAACAACTTTAATGTTGTAAAAAGTAAATGTTGTTCAAGTTATTTGACAGAGATAACGCACTCGAACTGAACTTAGTTTGACCTTTTGGTTGAAAGGATAGTACTTATCGTACCACTGTAACATTGCGATTTATAAAAACTGTTGTGAAAAGTACAGAGAAATGCACTTTTTTCTCGCAAATATATTATAATAACGTGTAAAACGGACGCTCAATGTTATTGCAAACGCTTGAAATAAGTCCCGAAGTCACACGTGTTACATAACAATTTGAGCTTCTTAATTCTTTGACATCTTATTGAATAAGACGGGTTTTTAGTCAATGCTCAATAAATAAATTAGTAGATAAGTCCCATCAACATTGACGTCTCACTAACGTGATGTGTGTAACGTTAACGGGCCAGGGGGCGTCAAACGAGAGCAACGACCTAAGAACGTATGCCAGCGTATTTTGCATAAAAAAATGATTAAACAAATTATTCGCTACTAAAGCTGTTGTTTGTGCAGTAAAATTAAACTAACAGAAACAAATTGTATGATTTATTAATGGACCGAACGTATATAATTATACAACTTTAGGAGAAAATAAATTGCAGTTGTGAAAAAGATTCTTGACTTGTGAATAACCCGTTCGAGTATCCGAACACGCAATATGATTTAGGAGTATAACTTAACACGTTCATCACTATGGTGGGTCAAAATGACCGACACGATACTCCTAATTTTGCGATGCTCCTTCACGCCGCAGCTTGCAAACCAAACGCTACACGAACTTCTGTTGCCACTTGGTTTTTAGGATATTTCATGACATACCTACTTTTGTAGACTTAAAAAAAGGATTTTGAATTTAAAAAAAATGTTAATTTGAAATGTGAGTGTAAAATCAACAGACATAATTATGTCAGTTTTAGGTAAATATCGATCGAACGTTACATGTACGTACTCTGCACGACATTGTGATCGGCACGGCCTAAACGTGTTATACCTAGTCTGTTCCAATCCATTACACAGTAAAAGTAAAGAAATCGGTTTGATTAAAATTCTAAAGCCATCACTCAATCATTTCAATAAGTAACACTATGACGTATATTGAAAAGATTTCAACTTGATATCTCATCACTTTTTCCAACAATATTCATTTAAATAACAACTTAAAATCGTATTTTTCCTTTTTTTTTACTAAAAATTCTACAATAGAGCCGGATAATGAAAAATTGCGAAAAAACTTATATACATACACAAATAAGACAAAAAGCAATCGCATAATGCATAAGCCAATGTCATTTTCTGAATATTTTTGAAAATTCTTGCCGGCATGCGGCACTAGTGAGACATGATTAGACGATGTTGTAAAAACAGAATAAAGTCCGTTTTTTTCCCTATATAGTAGATAGTGAGATTTTCTTGTATTGTCTGTTTCCAACCACTAACTTTTTTCTGCGTAGAGATGACTTAAAAAGGTTAACTAAAACGGCGAAACCGCGTCCGTATTACAAGATATTGTCACTGTACACTCTAAATTAATTTCTTAAACTAATACACACACCATTTAACGGAGATCTAGTAAAATCTATTATCTAGTAAAAAATAATGCAGTGTTATTTTTATAAAGAAATAAATGCGCAGTTGAACTCAATCTCATCCGATGGAAAGTGACGTTGAGGTCGACGATGCACACCTAAATATTGCCCGAGAGTGAATACTCTCGCGTGAATAAATCTGCAAGGAATTGCCAGCCTTAAAGCCTTAAAGACATAAAATCTGCTGGTCTTGGCTTTTGATCCTGTACTTGTCGTACAGGATCAAAATTTAATATTACATTTTCTCATCATAATTAAATATTTGACACATAGTTCGTTATGTAAAATGATTTTGATGTTGGCGTTTTTTATTAAAACCAAAAAGCTTTATTCAATACTTGTTCATGTCTAACAAATAAAAGTACCAAATAACATTATTATTTTTCGATTGGTATTGGTACGGTTGATATACAATAAATTATTTCTTATTTTACTTGAATACATACATAATACATAGAAAACATGGTGTCAGTTATTATTATTCGAATAATATTTTCCTTATGCTAATTTCATATGTAATGTATTCTGATTGAATTACGGTACATTATTAATCGCCAGTCAGTATGCGTATTATTGTATCGTACAGTATTAAATAAAAAACATGTTATACCTACTTTCAAAATTATCAAAGTATACAACAGTGTAGTCAGGTGTCAGGCGCAGTGGCAGTGCCCCTTTGCTATTTAAAGCGCTGACCAGTACGGCAACTGCTATGAAATCGTGTCGCTTAATACCAGGCGCACGACATGTTCGTTCGGTCACTTGGTATCATCAAAAATAGAATCCGCTTCCCCAAGCGTGAATTCGTAAGCTTGGCTGTCTGCAAGGGCAATTCACGCGATGATTAACAATCGAAATAACGGTTTGATTGGTTAGGAACCGCTTGTGCCAATTCAGCTCACTATAGCTGTCTTATTAAAGCAACCACTTCTTAATTCGAAAAGCTTATGAATGGACTACTTTGATTCATGTCATTAATTTTTGTAACACTATTTCGATTTTCGTGCGTCGTTTATTCCATCGATTAGCATGAGGTTTTTTTGTCTTACATTATAACTTTTTTTATAAAAACAAAACCGATCTCAAAAGTTTGTGCAATCTTCTATCTATTTGACAGGTTCTATTGAAAGTGGGTGAAATCCAATAAACCGGATTCATCCCCTAATTTATCACTGTTAGAGGTAGATAATTTCCCCCGGATTTGAATGGGACCACTACTGAGATACACCCTTTAGCAACAAAAAATAGAATCAACGCAATCACAAAAAAACGGTGAACTGAGAAACTCCTCCGTTTTTTGATTTTAAAAATACGAGAAAAGGTAAACCAAAACGTTGTTCGTTAAAATCAGAAGTAAATTTAAATAATTCGTATCGAGTTCTTCGATTTTCATTGCTACCCTTTAAAAATGAAAATATTTTGTTCCGAGTGTAAAATTGCATATAGGTATACATTTTAATTAAATAATTCCGTTAAAAATAGTGATTTCAAATAACCTTACGAATTGCGGACTGGATTGCAGGTAGCAATTGGGTTTGACCGCGGCAATGGGTACGAGTTTGACTGTGGTGGCACTGTGGTGTCGCCGGACTACATAATAACCGCCGCGCACTGCATCGACACTGTGGACCGGTAAGGATTTAATTCAAAACTATTTTCTTTAAGATCCTGCATGCTTTCCAATGGTTATCATAAACGTATATTTTTACATTTATGATCCCCTGATCCCCCGTAGAGAAGAAATTATAACAATATAATAATAAAATGCCAGACAACGACACCTGCAGGGCTAAAAAGGCCGTATTGGCAGAATCATAATAATATAACAATTGACAATTCATATTAAGAACTTTGAACCAAAACAAAAAGCACTTCATCTATTTGACAGTGTTCTAAGGAACACTAAACAGAACTCAGAACACTGTCAAATAGATGAATTGGTTTTTTTGTTTTGGCCTTTGGTTAGGGTCTTTTCAAGGCGGAAAAGGCCGTATTGGCAGAATCATAATAATACGATCGTGTTTAACCATACTTGCCGCATTAAGCCGGTTCGCCGTTAACGCAGCCGTTCGCGCGCCGTCGCGCTTGTTGTTTCTAAACCAGGACCAGTCGTCGTTGGCATGCGTACGGACGCGATTGCAAATTCGAACGAAGCCGATTCGTTACCGACCTGTGACGAGCCGCTACCGTACGAACCGATGCGAAACGCACAATGTCTTTTTCGCTCTTACGTCAATGGACATAAAGCTTTTTTCTTCTGCGTTAATAAGTGTGCCGACTCCCTTATACAGTCGAGTAAGTCAATCTGTACAGTTAAACGTTTCCATTGAAGCATAGAGCCGAGCATGATTCGCGCAGGCGTGGTGGAGCTGGGCGACAACACGTGGAATGAAGACACCGACCACCGCATCGCACGCATCTACATGCACCCCGAGTACACTCGCAAAGAGAAGTACCACGATATTGCCCTGCTTAGGTATGTTCCCTCAATCCGCGTGTTCAAAATTTATATGAATAAAATAAGAACAGGCGGAGAAAACTTGACACAGATCCGACGTTGACAAGCGCCCAATGGCGGCTGACGGAGCAAAGGGCGACGTGGCGTGTCGTTAAACTGCTTGAGCAATTCTCAAATTTTGCGATAAATGTGAGTTTAATAAGTACAGGGCTTCAGTTGAAAACCAAAATTTAGCGGTTTCCCTGTACTACTTAAAGAGAAATATCTCCATGTGCAAAGTTCTTATTTTATACAACACATATACAAAGTTCGAACAATTAGAAAAAGTTCCTTCGATCCGGCCGGACTCGTTTCGTTCCGTGGCTAAGTTGGCACGGTTTGCTAGGAGATGTCGGTTCAAATCCGGCCGGGTCGAAGGAATTTTTTCCAAGTATTCGATGTTTGTATTAATAATTAATAATAAACCAGTGGAGTAACTTCACAAAAATCTTAGAGCATAAGAATATCAATTCAATAAAAAATTTAATTTTAATAATAATTCGTAATTCTAAAAAATAATTAATCTAAAAATAATTCGTTTTAGACTATTATTGAAATAATATGCCTGTTGTCAGGATATTATATGATCAAGTAAAGTACATCCTTTTTTTTTTTTTTTTTTTTATTATCGTATTTAAAAGACTTGTTGCACTAATAGTTATAAATTCTCTTTTCTCTCTTAATAAGTATTTTTTAATAGAATGTTAACATTATGTAAAAGAAATATAAACAGATTATTATGCATGCGGTGTTCTCGTCCAAGTAATGGGGAATTGTATTTATGTTTTAATATAATTATGTTATTGTAATTTATAGTGTACTCTTTGTTGGAGAACCAAATAAATAAATTAAATAAAAATCGTGAAACAAAAAAGCACATTCTTTATACAATTATCCGTAGGTGTATCTTTTTTGTAAGACCGTTATTTAAAAGTAAAACACTTTTTTCCGGTTCTCCTCCGGTGGCTAACGATATTCCATATCGATTATATTATGTTGCAGTGGGCTTATACAATATATTATTATAATATACATATAATGTTTGTTACATACACATGTACATGTGGTATATTTATATTGTATTACAATTATTTTATGCCATGTTTATTTACTGTAAAATTTTAACGTTTTGTATTTGTGTTATTTGTATGAAATCTGCCTTGAATTATTGTTTTTAAGTGTCGCACCAACTTTTGCTTCTTTTTCTCTGTTTGAATGGTTGACTGGTAGAGAATGCCTTATGGCGTTAACTCCGCCGTTTGTACAGAATTGTATTGTGCAATAAAGATTAACTAAATTAATAAATGGTGTATATGTATATATTCAACAAGAATTTTGACGGATTGTATAACATATGTATATTAACTTCAAAAGAATTCGAAAACAATCTCTTTATTGGACACATTTTTATGCAGGCATCATCATTATCAACCCATTTATACGTCCCACTGCTGGACTCCTATCAGACGAGGGTTTAGGCCATAGTCCGCCACGCTGGCCCAATGCGGGTCGGGGACTTCACGTTTTCCGAGGGTTGTGAACCTTTTTCGACGTGCAGGTTTCATCACGATGTTTTCCTTCACCGAAAAGCTCATGATAAATTTCAAATTAAAATTCGCACATAAATTTCGAGAAACTCAGGTGCAAGTCCGGATTCGAACCCACGACTCTCTGCTTGAGAGGCAGTAGGTCAAACCATTAGGCTACCACGGCTTTTTTTTTTTTTTATGCAGGCAACCTGTATAAATTTTGATAATAATCATGGGAGTTTCAGCTTACCAAAAATGTTAAGGTGCCTAGTTACAGATTTGTACTATTTTTTCGCAATTAATTTTCGCAAAAAATTCGAGCAAATCTCTAGGCATCTTTACTTTTTTGTCAAAATGAGAAACAGTATTTAACGCGGGCCGAAAACATCAATTTCACACGATATAACCCGAATCCAGAGTACAACGAAGAATTCAACTCTTCCATTGATAAATATTCGATATGAATTACAGAATTGAAACGCCTCTGAAGTTCTCAAGCAATCTAAATGCGGCCTGTTTGTATACAGGCGATGAAGACCCCACCATTCCACTCACCGTCACCGGCTGGGGACAGACCAGTGTCGCTAGTACGTACACAATACATAATACCTACAACAAAAATTGTACGTATTGCACGCGGCGATAACTTAATATCACGGGCCGTGGAAACGCACCATGTATATGTAAAGAGGGCTAGGCCGCGCCCGCCTTTGAAGTTATTGAACGGATCCGAACAGGCCGCCACGGGCGCGCTCGGGTGGCCCTTTTCCCTCGGCCCGTTTCGCGGCCGTAAGAGGCCGCCTTAAGCTTGTGTATCTCAGAAACATTGACAACCTCCGCGGTCGGAGTGGCACACCGGTTTTCATGGTGTCGCCTTCTCTGAAGTCCCGGGTTCGATCCGCGGTCGGGACAATGTAAAAAACTTTTCTGTATTGTCTCGCGTCTGTTTGTGGTAACCATCGTTGTTTCCGATTTCCATAACACAAGTGCTTTAGTTACTTACTTTACTTAACTATTTATTGACATTAATAATTGAAATAATTTCAGCACAAGAATCAGTTTTTATGAGATTATGTCATAAAGTAGGTGGTCTAAAAAATATATACCACTTTCATAATATGTTAATTATTTGTACATGCGTACAATTTAAACAATAAAAAAATATGCACTTTTATTGACGTTTTCACGTTTATGTAATTCTTTCATTTTTTGTAATGGCAACACTTTTATTTACATTTTTGGCCTGGAATTCCATCAACGAGTATGGTAGGAAGTAAGATACCAATTGATACAATTCAAGATAATTTTTGATTGAAGAAAAATTAAAATCTAAGATCTGGCAGTAAGGCTTATTAGACCCCTAGGTCTTTCCCACGACACAAAACAAGTTTACTTGCACTACTACGTGTAAGGTGCATTAATAATATATTATTCAATGCGAGAATAATGTAATCAATTTTTTTTTGACGTTGCATCGCATTGGGCAGATACAATAATACAATTTCCTATATCATACGGGTGTTTTTACATTATTAGACAAGACAAGATAACAACATGGAAATTAACCGGAACGTTTAGAGTTAAGAAATTAATTTATCATTTTGCGTGTTGCGATTGTAGAGCAACGTCGCAGCAACATGCTGCTAAAGGCGAACGTGACAGTGGTGCCACGTGACCGGTGCAGCGAGAACTACCGTGACTGGCGAAAACTGCCCCGAGGCGTTACCGAACAGCAGCTCTGCGCCGGCGACCCTGAAGGCCTTCACGACACTTGCCAGGTACGAAATTCCAACTCTTAGGACGCCTTCAAATTAGACACAAGCGCTTTTGATACAGTATTTCTAGGGTCGGCGGACTAAAGCACATAAGTAAAAAAAGTGCTTCATTTTTTAACATGTAATTGTATATTTTCTGTGCGGTTTATAATGTCGGAAGATCTGAAGTGAATGAAAAATAAATAAAAGATAAATCTTGTCACAGCGATAAATAAAGTTTAATAAAGAACTTAAATTCTATTGGCGAATTTAAGTTACAAATGAATGAATCGTGAATTTGTTACATGAAGTTGACTTAATTGCTTTTATCGGTAGATGAATTATTACTTTAAATGAATGATGTCGGTTTTTGACTTATGTGCTTCAGTCCGCCGACCCTAGCTACCGCAGCTAGTGAAATAATTAAAATTCAGTTTCCTAAATTACATATTTTCTAAGTTACTTAGGTTTTCATTTAATTCAATTCACGTTCTGTCTAGTGACACTAAACGGAATAAATAGATCAAATAAATTTTAACATAGTTATGAAATAGGTAGATCTATTGCCAATAAAAATTCTCATTAGATCCAGTTTATTATAAAATAGATCTACTAAGAAAAAAAATTCTCATCAGATCTGGTTTATTATAATATAGATCTACTAAGAAAAAAAATTCTCACTAGATCCTTGATGGATCTGGAGAATGGATCTACTGAGATTGATTGCTTTTTCTTTCATTCGTTTTATTCTCCCGTTGTTTCTTTCGTTCGCTTCGTTCTCATATAATCAATAAATTATCTTGGCTATAATCACGGTGCACTAGCATATTTGGCGAAAAGTTATTTACTTTAAGGGTCATACAACCTCAAATGGTATTGGTTGAATCCACGTAACAGTGAGAATGTTGAATCAACCACTTTGGAAGAAATACGTAATAAAATTGAGGATGTACACTGATTACTATGCGGTGTGAAAACACGATTCCTGAAAATTTTCACGACAGAAAAGAAACACAAGCTTACCTCGAAATTTCACAAAAAAACCTCTGTATTCAATGGGTAGTTTACATACACCAATTTTTGTGTCTATCAACTGCACCAAATAGAACACGTTCGACCCAAGCAAAATGAACCGTATTAGTACGGGAAAAATTTAAATTCGAGCTATGGTGGTATTGACTCTTAATTGCTGAAACCATGTCTCGTTTTACAAAGCACTGTTCTTGCCTAACTTCATAAATAGATAAGACGTTTATTCAGCATAAATACATGCAGAGACAAACAGTTACAAGGTAAACACAAAAGCACGTAGAATTTGTTGAGAAAAACAAAATTGTATACTGGTCATAACCATTTGTAACAGTTTAAGCTTAAATGGCCCTGACTCAGTTTAAATATTGTGGACCGTGACAGTCAAAGTGCGATCGCTCAACATATGGTCTGTCAGTACCATATGGTGAGCGATCGCATCCCAGTAAGCCATATCACCAGAGTGCATCACACGCAAATACTTTTTTTAAGTTATTTTATGAATCAAAATACAGAAGAAATACTTATTTACTAGTTACAAGCATCGCTGATAAAAGCTCTTCCGGCTTTATGCGCTGCGAAGGAGCTCAGGCTAATTTAAGTAAAAATATAATATAATGGAGCAAAAACAATATATAAAAAGCCTGGAGTTCCAAGTCCCATAAGTTTACAATTATATTCTCTTATTGTAATTAACTTAGTTTTTGTGCAAGGAACAAAAACATGCTAACTTACATACTCATAGAATAGCATTTATGTTAATTACAAAATAAAGTTCTTGTCTTCAGTTTTAAAAAAATGTTTCTTTATATATGATTTATAGTGTTTGTTGTTTTGTTAATTATTTTTTTTTAGTTAATAGTTTATTGTACAGGAAAAAATACAAAAAGTCACAATTAATACAAGGAAAATACGAACGAAATGTTATAAAATTACATATAAATTACTCATAACATATATAATTTATAATATGAAGTGACGGGACGAACGAATCGTGCGACTGATGGTAAGCTACACGCCTGTCCATAACAGTTGCAGTGCCACTCAGAGCTTTAAATCGCAAAGATCTGAGGGGCACTGCCACTGCGCCCGTCACCCTGAGACATAAGTTGACAAGTCCCATGTGCCTGCAATTTCACCAGCACCCTTACCCTTCCAAATCGGAACGCAGTAATGCTAACATTACCGCTTGGCGGCAGAAATAGGTAAGGTGGCAGTACTTCCGTGGACAACTCTTTCTAAATAATTTTTTACTAATTAAATAATTCTAAATAATAATATAAATAAATATGTATCATCACATATTTATGTTAAATACGGTTGATTGTTCAGTATGGACGGTCATAATTATTATTATTATTATTGGATTGTACGCATATTTTAGAGAAGTTCCCATGTGTTCAACAGGGCGATTCCGGAGGCCCGTTGCAAGGCGAGACTTCCAACGACGGGCAGTACAGGCTGGTGGGCGTGACGTCATTCGGGCGCGGATGCGGCTCGCCCATTCCCGGAGTCTACACGCGCCTTAGGCACTATCTAGACTGGATAGAAAGCATCGTCTGGCCAGATTCATAATCTCACACAATACAATACAAAGAAAGTTCAATATGCATATATACAGCGTGTCCCAAAATTCAACGATAAGCGGGCGCTGGAGGGTGGACCTGCGCATAACTACTTGAGGAAAAATAAGAAAAAAAATTTATATCATTTTTTTTTTAAATTACGATAAAAAAATTGTTATTCTTCGAAAATTTACTCCCTTAATGATATTTTAAATCACCACGACCACAATTTTTCAGATATTTCTGATGTTTTTATTTTAACGGCCACCTAAGTAGTACTGCTGTCTACCACAACTCTTAAAATTCCCAGAATGCCTGCAATTTTACAAAAAATCCATCAAAATATTTTTTTTCCTTGAAATTTTGAAATATTTTTACCTGCAGTCGACTTTCACTCATCGTTTTGTAAAAAAAAGGTACGGACACCACTGCGGCAAGTTTTTTCAAGACATCCCCTTAAGTGATGTACAAAACATGTGGTTTCAAAATGATGGTTGCCCAGCTCACTCCGCCCGTCCTGTGCGAGAATACTTAAACCAAGAATATCCTGGGCGTTGGATCGGGCGACTTGGTCCTATCTTATGGCTACCCCGTTCACCCGACCTAAACCCCCTGGATTTCTTCTATATATATATATATATACTCATATACTTATCATCCTTTATCAACCAACAAAATACAGAAACTATCAAAGACAATACCAACAACAAGTTTAAATTGACAGCTATACTCTGTAAAAGTTAGTTTGATTACAATGACATATCAACAAAATTAAGGTGGATGTAAATTTGCAGCAACCTCCAAGTTTTTTAAATACGATAAAAAAAATAGATATTTTACATACTTACGTCACCACTCATTGAAATTCATAAAATTAGTTTTAAATCACTTTTCGAGTTAATTACGCTAAAATATTGTTAATTTTATTTTCTTAAGTACACATGATAAAGTTACGTCGAACGGAACAAGTTTGTAATGACGAGACTTTTAATCGATAAATAATTTGGCGCTAATTTTTTCGAAACTTACTCGAATGATTTTGTTGAAATTACTCAACGTTACTTGTGTTGTTTTGAACTACGATGTGTTATTATCCCTTAAATTGTGTATTTTTAGTGATTTTTTTATGCAATGTGCACAAACACTGTCCTGTTATTTGAATATTCTCGGTTATTCTTTGGAAAGTAACTTATGTCACGCCTATTCGACGTTATTCGTTACCACGATGTAATAGCACCTATAAAATATGTCATTGTGCAGTCGATATATTTTAAAATCTATTCTTCATTTCACTGATCGTGTCCCATCACTACTTCATAAACTTTGATGTGTCATTCTATCAATGTAAATTTTACTGAGACAATGTACCCAACTCTCAATGTTATAGAGATTCCAATCCAAATACGTAACAAAATAGTATCTACAACAATTTAAAACTTCGTAACCCTGGTCAGAAAGCTGAAAGGCGTTTGTTAAATAAATAGAAGTGGAATCGACAACATGCATCGAAACTGACACTGGCTGAAGTCTAGTGGCCGCTATTAAGGAAATAATAATAATATAATAGGCTGGATAATAAATAACTGCCAGGCAATTGTAACATTAAGGAGACAGGATAATTGTAAAAAATAATAAAGACTGTCATAATAAGGCTCAAAATCCTGCTGCCGTTAGTAATTATATAGCAAGTTAAAACACTATACGAGGTAATTCATAATTAAATACGGGTTGTATAGAAGTTGTACTTACATGCAGGTGTAATATATATTTTTTATAATACCACGAGGCCATGCATGGAAATAATCATTTAAATGCGGTGATAGTTATTTTGGTCAAATTGAATGAAAATAATTATTTGTTAAACGTAACTAGGTGTCAAAATAATAATAGAAGTTTGATAAAGTCAGAATAAATACACAAATGTTAAAAATTACGTAATGAAGTTAGTCGGAATACTGTATAGTACATATTATTGATTAGTAAGTTGCTTCATTGATTTTTTTATAAATAGTGTAATGTTTTTATCAAAACTAGACAGGTTTAAAATTATACAACACAAAACACTCGCTCAAATAAACTGCCTCTGTGACCGAACGGTTACCATCCTGGACTGCCACACAGAGGTCCCAGGTCGGGAGAAATATGTGTATGGCCTACATTTATATCTCTCTCGCAGTCGCATCGAGTATATAACCAGAAATAGAGACGAAATGTCATTTAATTTGTTTGGAAATTATTCTGCCATATCATAACTGTGACAACTGCGCTCCGATTGGCTAGCCCGAGTTCGGAACAATTGACGGGTGTCGTCAATTGTTTCACTTCAAATCAACCAGTAAACTTGAGCTTTGCTATAATGGACGAAAATTGCAAAATTACATACTTCATATTTAATTACCGATGAAATTTGATTCCGTTTGTTACGTAATTAGATGTTTTGCTGATTTTCCCCACACCACCGAATGTAACAACACGCCATTGTTCTTGTAATATTTTTGATATATACGGAGACGTACACACAGGTCAGTTGTTGACGCTGTCTATATTGCAGTGCAAACGAGAGTTGATATTCATAAGTGATGTACCACTGATGAGTTACCAGGAACGTATGGCCGTTATTTCATCTCTATTTCTGGTTATATACTCGATGCATGCTCTCTCGACATGTATATTGTGTGTTTTCACGGCACCCGTGATACAGGGTTGCCCTAGTGCGAGGCAATGAGTGTGTACGCATTATTGTTATATTGTCGTGACCTTTTCCCGTAATATATCTAAAAGGGTGACGAGTTAGATGACGATAGCATCAACTTTTGACGTCAACATTGGTGATGCCAATAAAAGAAATTACAATTCATTCATTCATTCATTTGTGAGCAATTTTGCAATTCTTAGGGCTATATCGGTTACTCTGGGTCCCTTGCGGATATCCTCGTTACACATTCGATCTCGCAACGAAACTCAAGAAAAACCTAATACTCCGAGCATAGCCAAAGGGCTAAGCTCGGAGTACTATGCTAAAGGTCACTCAAAGGGGCAATGGAAAGCCCTTGCCTTTTGAGTGACCTTTTTGAACCACTCGCATAACCCCCACCCCCGTCCTACATTTTACACAGACTTATCGCCGTTTAGAGCGATCTATTTAAATATTTATATTTTTGTATGAAAGTAACTGATGAATTATTAAAGACATGGAACAAAAGTTGTTGTAAATGATGTTAGTAATATAGGCCTGCGATGTTGTTAGTATTTTACAAATAACTATCAGCAACAGTTATATGATAATTAACTGATAATTATCTATTCAAATTATCAAACAAAATAAATATCTCCATAATTTCAAATCCTGATTTCAATATCTATTAGTAAATTCCTTCCTTGGCCACTAGTGCATAGCAACGTTACCTCATTAGAAGTGATTATCACAACAATGTATGTAGGTATCATAAGGATGTATTACTTTGAATTGTGTTTGTCTAAATTATGATAGCGTTATCAATATTTCGCTCTCAAAATGTACTTAGAGTGTTAAAATCATTATATTCCAAATTTCTGGCAGTGACTACGCATGAACAGAACAAAAACTTCAACCTTTACCATCAAGATTGTCGTCACTTACAAATCTGACCTCGAAGAAGGAAAGGCACAAACAACAAATTAGATACATTTGCGTAGGTATCTGATTTGTTGCGTGTGCCTTTCTTTTGTCTAGTTTAAAATGTTTCCAGATTTTTCTGATAAAAAGAATAATTAAAATATGTTTTTGATATCACGTAGTTTATTTATGTTAAATATAACGAGACATATTTTAAACGGAAACTTTTATAAATTCTTTATTAACCATTTAAAAAATACCCTTGTAAGTTAGTACAAAAAAAAGAATATTGTTACAGAATATAAAGGCTCTTAAATGTGACTTAATACTTGACTTATATTATAACTAGAAAATAATAGAAGTAAGGGGCTCAATTATAGTTAGTTGTTGTGCCTTATTTGTGTTAGTTTATGAAGTATTTATTGTAATTGACAATTGAGTAACAAGGGCATAGTTCCGTTTTTGGTATTAGTGTCTTTAACCATAATAAACTTCAAAATGACTTATTATGGTAGAAAATATGATTTAGATGTCAGTTGCGCTTTTTGGCTATATCCGAAAATTATTGAGGTAAATTTCTACAATATGTCGGTCAACAGCACATCAAGCTATATATACCCTTTTGTTCGAATATTGCCGCCAGTGCAATGGAACAAGATCCGTCATTGTGTAGCCTGGTGTGCTGCCATCTGTACAGAACTCAATTTTGATAAAAATCTTAGTAGTGCCTTTTTTCGTTCCGAGAACAGAACTTAATTCTTGGTCATGTATAAAAAGTGGGTAATTTAATTCATTTTTGTATTAAGTCACGGTGTCTGTGATTGATAAATGATAAGTTATCATGATAAAACAGCCTTATATTTTTTATATAAACCATATTTAATAATTTAATGTAATTTGATTTGTAATAATTTATAAACGAACTAAGAGCTAGTCATAAATCAATATCTACTAAGTACAGCAATAGTACACTAGGTGCCATTGTCCGTGACGCGCATTTTTATGACCAATATCCTAAGTTAGTTTTATGAATGTGAACTTTAAATTATCATTAAATGCATTTTAAGAATTTCGTGTTATTTTTTTTCAATTATACATTTTACATTTCTTCAAGTCACCTACGCTAATAGTAGACGCCTAAAATGTGAAAATATTTTGCTTGTTTAGTCTACACGAATATTGTTATACTACATCGAATTTTAAGACTACGACAAATATAGCTCTACATATTTTCAACCTCTCGTGTTCAGCGATGGGATGTACATATAAGGATCAAGGTTAGTGACACCCTTTATTAACGACTCTCACACACACTAATAAAAGGAATGTCAACACGCAGCAAGCAGTACGATTCTAACGCACACACTACACATAGAAATGTTTTTGTTCGACGATCCGATAATCGGATCGGACGTCGGAGATCGGACTCTCGATCTCCGTCCGATACT